TTTTTCCTTCATGCAAGTTCATGGATTCCTGAATTTTTCACACAGATTCCAGGTTAAGAACCACTAAGTGTCTCTCAACCAATGTTTAAAATTCCAGTAAAAATAGAAAAGAGGAAAATGCCAGCCAGAGAGATGAGGATTGGTGGGGAGATCCCTGCTTGGTCAGGGATTCTGAGCCCAGACTCTGCACCCAGACCACCTCAACTTGAAACCCAGTGCTGCCACTTAGTGCTGTGTGACCAGGCCAACCCACTCTGCTCTCTGTGCCTCAGTTTCTTCCTCATATATGTGGAGATAATAGAAGTCTTGTCCTTCAAGGCCTGCTGTGGCAGGGAGTGTCGGTGGAACGGGGCTGGGCACATTGAACATAGTTGAGGATTGGCTATTGCAGTTTGACAGCTGTGCTTGATTAAATGTGCCAGGTCTGGGATCTTATTTTTCCCTTGGGCTATCACAGATGGCCACCCTTGTAGCAGTACTGCCCTTGGCGACCCCTTGCCTGACTTTTGCCCTCATTGATCCCTTGGCCTGGAATGCCCCTCTCCTTTGTCCCTGCCTGGCCAGGCCTCACTCAGACTTTAGGACTTAAGTCAGATGTTGCCTCCTCCAGTGCTTCCCTGAAGCACACCCAGCACCCTGCTTTATGGCTGGTGCCTATGAACAAAACCCCGTATCTGTCACTATCAACACAGATGCCACAACCAACTGGCACCATCTGCTTCTGCATCCTTTCCCCATGATATGCCTCCATCTGAGCACCTGGACCATTCTTCATTCTTCCAGTGTCCAGAAAGCCTATTGTGGGCCAGGTCTGGGCAAATGTATTGTGAGGGACTGAATGGGTAATTAATGAATGAGTGGTTTCCTCGAGGCCTTTTGCATACTCAGAGAATCCTGGAATTGAGCCTGGGCAGCAGAGGCCACCTGGGTGGGCTTCAAGCAATGAGTAGGGCTTGGAGCCCCAAAACTTTATGGATTATGGGATCAACCCAAGGACTGCACAGACAAGTCCTTCATCCTGGGCAGAATCACAGAGACATCAGACCCATCACCTGCCTTATCCTGAAGCTCTGCTCAGTGAGCTCCACCCCAGAGGCCTCACCCCCCACAAGCTCAGAAGGCTCTGTTCATATCCCAGACTCAAGGACCATGCCTGGATACACTGTTCCAGCAGAAGCTTCATTTATTGGAGGATTCTGATTCAGGGTTGCAACTCAGATACCCAGGGCCAAGTACTCATCACCATCCAGGTGGCCTCCGCAAGGTCACATGTACCTAAGCCCTAGGGACCCAAGAACACTCATTCTTCGGAAGAGAGTGACTTGTGTTGAGCAGAGGTCATCCCACCTCAAGGGTAGTCCCACAGGAAGCCAATGCTCGTGAGGCCATAGAGGCGGTACTGCCCATAGACTCCAATGAGCACCTTCCTGTTCTGACTGGGGGTGGCAAAGAAGCCCTTGCCAACTTCCTTTCCAAATGAGGTCTTGTTTCCTCGGCTGGTGTATATGGTCAGGCGCTGGATGAATTTCCTGTACCTTCCAAAGATTCTTGTAATGTGTTCACCTGGCTGCAGGAGGAGTTCATAGGACTTCCCACCTGGGATTCCGTATTTTTCACTCCAGGAGGAGCCATACCTTACCTGGATGCTGGGAGGAAGGGGGAGTTTTGAATGCCCAGAATCCAGGGTGACTCACCACTCCCAGGTCCCCTAAACCCAGGCACCAGCCAGGAGGTCAGCCCTGTGCCTGCTGCGTAAGTCCCTGAATGCATGACTTTGAGTTCCTCAGACAGGCACATGGGTTCTCAACACTTACTCTGTCTCTTTCAGCCTCAGTGATTTGGGCTTTTTCCCCAGCCTCTCCAGGCCTCATTTCCTCATCTACAAAGAGGGAGTGGTTTGGGATGGGACAGTCACTGAGAGCAGGAGAGCTCCACAAGGTGCCCAGTCACCATGACCCTCAGGAGGTGCCAGCTGCTCTCATTGCTCAGAGCAGGGAGCTGTCCCTGAGCCAATCTCGGGCTTTTGGAGCCCCAGTCACTCCCACTGGACCAGGTGGCAGACCTGAGAAGCAGGGAACTCCCACACTCATGTGGAAGCAGAGGCCAGAATTGCAGGTGAAGGGAGAAAGAAGTGGATCTGGAGTGCAGGAGAGGAAGAGGCAGAGGAAAAAGGACAAAGGAAAAAAGATGCCTGGTGTCCACAGGACTCTGAGGACTCAAGTAGCCTCAAAGAGTCATCAGGAACCCAGTGAGGATGTTGGAGGAAGAGGCTCTGAGCCCCCTGCCCAGTCCCAAAACTCTGTCGTGAGTTGGGACATGGTGACGTGGCTCCATTGGCCTTTTCTACCCACCTCTTGATTAGTCCCACAGGACCTATAAACACCCGAATCCCAGTTAATTCATCTTCATTGTTTTTGGAGATCATGAAATATGTGCCTCCTCCGGGACCAAACGTCTCTAGGTTGTTGAATGAATCAGGTGGGAGAGAGAGATAAAAGACACGCAGTGACATGTTGATGATCTCCTTTCAAAGTTAGATGCACCCCCCTCCGGACAGTTTGGATAGTTCTGTCATTACACTAAGTCTGTGACAAGGGCTGGAATTAGACCCCTGGATGGAGGGAGGTGAGGGTGACCACCAGGGAGAGGGGATGGACTGCAGGAGGTCCGATCCAGCCAGACTTACCATCTGCCCAGCAGGTGCTGCTCCACAGGAGGGCGAGGGTCAGCCACAGCAGCATGGTTTCTAGCTGGGGAGTCAAAAGCCCCTGGAGAGAAGAGGACAGGCCGTCTGCCTCTCAGAGAGGGGCCTCGCTAAACTCCAGGAGCTCCATCCATAACAGGGGCACCACCTTACCTGGCCTGGAGGGTCTTGTGGCCTGGTCCTTGCACTGGGAATTCTTATGGTGCCTGGCCCCCCTTCCATCTGGCCCTTTATACCCTTCTGGGCCCTGTGGGCCCCTGTCCAGAAGGGAAGAGCAGACGGGCCACCAGGGGAACAGGGAGGGGCTGGATGTTGTAGGCTCTTCCTGGGGGAGTCCCCTGAGCCATGCTGGGGGAGGCTCCCGGACGTGCCGGATTTATTTTCTTGGTCCCGTGCCCTACGCAAACAACACCGGACATGACAGGCATGTGTATGTCGCTTCCTGTACTCTGTCTATACCTGGACTTGACCTTGACCTTGTAGGTCAGGGAGCTTTGATGAGAGCCCTTCCCACCTTTGACCAAACACTTTTCAACCCCAGGGGGAAGTCGAGGTCTGCTGTACCCAGAAGTTTCATGGAGCCCAGAGCTTTTACCTTGTGCAGAACCTGGTTCAGGGACTTATTCAGGCCTGGGTGGAGCCCTGTGTACCTGGGGCTTTCCCCTCATCTGAGAGCCAGAGTGGACAATGCAATTCTGTGCATCTTGTGCCAGGTGGTGGAGACAACCCAGGTGCTAGCTCTGCATGGCTGTCACTGGCAGACATCTGTGATGTTTCCTTTGTGCTGGAATTGAAGTAGCTGAGGGTGAACTGAAATTAAAGGGCTATGGGATTATGGATTGGCAGCTAGGATGCGGTGACAGGAGACACAGCAGATGGGGGAGAGGGGGATTCTCTAGGCCCATTAAGAGAGCACCTGGGGCCATGCTGGTGTGGCACGTCCAGGCTTTCTGTGACTGGATGGAGCTAAGGCTGTCAGCAGTGCCTCCCTGGACATTGAGAAGAGCCACGGCATCGCAATCATCAACCAAGGGTGTGATTGTGGGCGTGGAGCTGGATCAGATTGGGTCAGAATCCTGGGTCCCTTTGTTCTAGGCATGCCCTTTGGGGAGCTCAAGTCACCTCCATGTGATTCAACTTTTCTAAGTATTATAAGCAGACAACAAGAGAAGCTCTTTGCAGGGTGCTCTGAGAATTCACCAAGAACCTTCTCCATCCAAGGACCTGAACCTTGGATGGTTGGAAGGGTTAAACTTGCAGGCAGGTGTGCAGGTGGTTCTTGAGCAGCCTCTGAAATCTCCCAAGATTAGCAACAGCAGACATGTCCCCTAGGTTACAGGACTGGTGGTGTTCTCGCTGTGGTGGAGAAATGCACAGGCTGGAGAAAGGAATGCATCCCCCAGGCTGTGCTGATGCGTTGCCATAGGAGA